TGAGGAAACGTCCTCCCCTAGAGCCTCCAGAAGGAGGCTGCCCTGCCAATTCATTTCTGACTTCTGACGCTCCAGAAACACAAGAGAATAGATGTGTGTCGCTTTAAGTCACTGAGTTTGTGGTAATTTGTTACAGCAGCAATAGAAAGCCAAAGGGGTGAGGTATCCAGAAACCAGCTGAGGACAGTGTGTCAAGCAGTGGGGAGCGATCGCCATGTCGAGAGTTGCTGCCAGGCCAGGTGAGAACTGACCACCAGGGTTAGCCAGGTGAAGGTCCCGATGGCCCTGGCAAGGGTACTTTCAGGGCCGTGGTGGGTTTCAGAGAGAACAGGGCACTTATTTCCTGTCTGTCTAAATGAAGGAAGACGACATATGGACCAACAGTGAGTTGTGTGTCTTAAGATAAATAAATAAGGAAAGGGAAGATGATGGATGCTGCTCAGGCATCAATTTGGGTTCTTTGCTGGGAATGTTTCCAGAAATGATTACCCTCGGGTGTTTCTGAGATTCCTGTCTATTTCTTTTTACTTCCCCCATAGAGTCCTAATTTCCAACCCTCGCCCTAATTTGGGTCTCGAAGCCCCTTCTACCACTGAATTCTGAGGTGACACCAGGGGACACTCTTGGAGCCTGTGTTTACCCTGTGTCACATGGAACCACAGTGACTTGTGTCCCTGGCCCACTCCCAGCTTCCACTAGCTTCATCCTCCAGGTAAGGCTCACCTGGCACCACAGCAGGCCAGGGCTCACAAGTCCCTGGCAGGTAGCAAAGGACGGTGGCTGCTGACTGGCCAGGCAGGCCCACTTAGGAAGCCTTGTTGTAGGCTAAGCAGACCTCGACCCCTTCAGTTAGCAGGTTTCTCACATCCACTCCGCTCTGCAGGCAGGGGGAGTTTAGCAAGTTTCCCAGTCATCAGCTTTTATCTGAATTCTCAGCTCAGACCGGCATTCCAAGCTGGGCTGTGCTCAAGCTGTTCCGGAGCCCCTGGTGGGGTGGGGACCCTGAGTCTTCCCGCACTTAGATCTCCTCCCTATTGTCCATCCCCATTTAGTTACTCAAGCTCCAAAGTTCTGAATGGCTGGACCCCCAAAGCCTGGCAGAACCACATGTGGCAGGATCTGGGGACTTCTCAGCCACTCAGAGACAGATACACCTTGTGGGATTAGGATGCGACACACATTCAGACATTAGGGTTAACCCAACAGCAGGGGCTGGGGAGTCAGCGCTTGCCTTCCTCTAGGGTCTCCCCAAACAGAGGGCTTTTCTCCAGGGGCATGGTCAGACGTCTGCCCGCAGGAGGCCCCCTCAAGGTCTGGGTGTGTAAGATGGGGGGAGTATGATCTGCCTTTTCAGTTATATTCCTCTTGGTGGCAGGTCTGGAGTGAGGGAAGGATTCTGGTTGGACTGTGATGAAAGCTGCAGCTCTGTCACCAGAAAAATGCACAACCACGCATGTTTTACACACAATTTCATCTCTTCCATCAATCCCATAAAATGGTCCATAGAACTCCAGGGTTAAGAAGCTCTGCTCCTTGTGTCTTCCGAAGTGTGAGACTTACTCCACTGATGGTGCTCAGGATTTTAGGGGATAGGAGGATGAGCATTTATTTTAATAGCTCTATTTTTAAAGTGCATGTAAACCCTGATTTCACTGGGAATATTGCCTAGGGTGAGTAAACGATAAAATAAAAAGTGAGTCTACTTAAAAATAAGTATTAAATAGTTCAAGTCATATGCCAATTTGGAAAAAAACTGGAACAGTGATTCGTGGATGACAAGTCTGGGAAACAGTATCTATGGCTTTGGGAGGTTTGGACCCGAAGTTCTTTTCTTTCCTATTTCTTTAAAAAAATTGCTGGTTGGGCTTCCCTGGTGGCGCAGTGGTTGAGAGTCCGCCTGCCAATGCAGGGGACACGGGTTCGTGCCCCAGTCCGGGAATATCCCACATGCCGCAGGGCAGCTGGGCCCGTGAGCCATGGCCGCTGAGCCTGCGCGTCCGGAGCCTGTGCTCCGCAACGGGAGAGGCCACAGCAGTGAGAGGCCCGCGTACCACACACACACACACACAATTGCTGGTTGCAGCCCAGTCAATGGATTTCATGCCCCACTAACAACATGAGCCACTCTTATCTAAGCTTGGAGTGAGGAGCCCTGAGCGCCCAATCGAGGAGGGGGCCTGGCTTCCCTGCTCAGCCATCACTGATTCACTTCCTCAAGTGCAGGGCTACAAAAGATCTTGTCTCATCCCCACGGTATGTTGGCTCAAACAAGTTTGACTTGTTTCATGTGTGTGCTTCCCTGTGAGTGTGAATGTGTGGGTAAGTGTGTATACAGAGGGGGTGTGGCAAAGTGGGGGAAAGGGGAAACCAGTGGGGCTGAGCCTTGTCCTTGGAATTTCATGGCAGAGCTCCGGCAGGCTCCCTGCTGAGGACTACACTTGGGAAGAAGGACTTCAAGGAGGGGCACCATTCAGAAATGAGCTCCAAACAACAGAGCTGGTTCATGACACTCCCCTTCCCCATCAACGCCCCTTCTGGTCTTCACACTACAGGAGCCGGGTTCTAGCCTCAACAGGTGTCAGCATCCCTGGTCCAGCAGGAGGAGATGGGAGAGGTGGAGAAGGCAGCATGGGGGTTGCCAGAAGGGCTTAACCAGAGAGAAGAACAGATATGTCTTCTCTCCATTCAGCCCTTATGAAGATGGTTTCTCTCTGAAAAGATATCTTCTCCAGATTTCTCCTCTGAATACCTCCCTTCCCCAATATAAAGACAACCCTACACTAGTTTCCAGAATAGTAGACAGAAGCTGACGAGCAACTGGAGTATTGGGTGACTACGGCCGTTGGTCAAGTTTGGGCCATGGTTTGTAAATGTGGTGTTAATTTTTAGTTTTCTTCCCACATCCTCAGGTGGGGGCCCAGATATAAGGATGCCTGAAACATGGCCACACTGGGACTCTTGGGGTAACAGGTGAGTGCAGGGGTAAAACAAATTTAGACTCAGTATTCTCTGAAGGTCAGGTAAAGCAAAGCAAAACAAAGCCAAATCAAACCATACTGCTGGGTAGCTAGCAGAGCTAGGAGGTAAAGCCATCTAGGGCAGCTAGCCAGGAGAGGTTCTCTAGATGGTGCTGAGAGGAGAGGCCACACCCTAAGGCTCCTGTTTATAGGACACAGTTACAATGTAGGATGGCTTCCATGAGCCATCACGAGCCTGGAAGTCTCTAGTATTCTGGCTCCCACCTCTCATTTCCTGCACTCAGCTTCAGTTATATCTATGGCTAAACCTTCTGCCCCTTCAGCATGACCTGACACCTAACATCAGCTTCCAAGATTAAACTGGGCCCCCGCTGCAGAATGCTGAGTCCTACCATTTTACATATGAAGTCTCCCAAATTCAACCTTCCCCTTCCCTTGGTCATCGTCACCGTTACCTCTCACTTGGGCTATGGGGTGGCCTCCCGCCTGGTCTCCTCACACCCACATGGGCTCCTTCCACCCCTTCTTGGCATCGCAGCCAGGATGCTCTTCCAAAGATGCAAATCTGACCACGCCACACCCCTGCTTGAATCCGTTACCTGGCTTCCCATTGTTCTTAGAATCAAGTCCCCAAACCTGACCACAGCGGCCCTGGCTGATCTCCCGCCTCCTTCCACTCCCTCTCCTTGCCCAACAGCCTCTGGTCACATTGGTTTTATTTCTGTCCCTTGACTCTGCCAAGCCCTTACCCTTCAGAGCCTTCACACATTCTTTTCCCTCTGTCTGGAAGGTTCTTCTCACCACACTTCACCTGGCTTAAGCCCTATCCATTGATTAGCTCCCAGGGTAAATATCACTTTCTTCAGAAAGCTCTCCCTGATTCATACTCTGATAGCACCAGGTAACTGAAGAATTACTGTAGGATTAGTATGTTACCTCATTAGCCTGTTAGGTCCATGAAGACCGTATTGCTTTTGTCCATTGATACCTCCTCAGTGCCTAGCTCAGTACTGCCAATCACTAAGGGACCAAGTGAGTGAGTGAATAAATGATTAAAGAATTAGGCAAGATGGCCTAGTGAAAAGCCACCTGGAACAGTGAGAGACAAGTCCTTTCATCCAAAGATCTAAAAGCACTTGCTGGGGCCATCTTGAATGCAAGAGCTAGAAGCAGGGAACAACTGTTGGTTTATGTCCAAGCATGATGGCCTCGCTGTCACCAGTCCTACAGCTGGGCCTGGGGAAGTCCTGAAGAGTCGGTTTTCCTCTGGCACAAGCCTACCTGGAACCCAACGGATAGGATCATCTCCCAGGCCCAAGGATCCTTGGGATGGAGAGAGCATTGATTTGGGAATCAGACACACTTGACTTTTCCACTAACTAGCTCAAATTACCTCAAATTCCAAATTGACCTCAAATTACAGTGCCTCCTGGATCCTCAGTTTCCACATCCTAAAATGGGGATAACAAAAGCCACCCCAGGATCAGTCAGAGGTTTAAATACAATCACGAGCCTGTGGTGCACAGCAGCAGGCAGCCCAGAGTGCTACTCCCTTCTCCCCAGCAAAACTGGCTTACCCCTGTCACGTCACTCTGCTGGACACCCAAGCCAGCACGCAAGACAAGGAGTAAAGGGAGGTCTGAGGGGTGGGAGGACATAGGCCACCCAAGACACGGTGCCAACCTCTCCACGCAACCAGAGAAGCCGCTGTGCAAGACTAGGGTGGCATCAGGAAATCCAAACTAGCTGAGAAGGGTGACTGGCACCTTATGAGGTGGGAGAAGTAGCAGATAGAGGAGGGACAGGGGAAATGCTGGAGAGGAAGGGCAAACTCCTGGTTCGGGGTGGGGTGGGGTGGTGGTAGGCAGGGGCCTGTTACCTGGAGAGAAGAGAGGTGAGGGCGGAGGCTGTCACCTTGGGTCCTCCTAGAGGGCAGGTGAACGCGGCCTGCCGGGGAGTGGCGAGTTGGGGCGGGGAGGGTGGGGGGAATAGAGGGTGTGTGACACCCGGGCCCGGCTGTACCTGAGGGTCTCCTTGCAGGTCTCCCACGTAGTACTGCTCGAGCCAGCGGCGCGCGTTGTCCGAGTGCCGGTGTGGTGGCCCGTCCAGGTCGGCGCTAACATCCTGACCAGCCCGTGCCCGCAGCAGCTGCTCGCCCCCTGGGTGGTGCCGCACGAAGCCGGTGAGGTCGTAGAGGCGGACCCCGCAGCGGACCCAGCAGGCGCCGGCCGCCAGGCGCCGCTGGACCTCGGCGGGGGAGAAGGAGGCGGCGGGGGGCGGAGCGGGGGCCATGGCGGGAGACAGGAGCTCGCAGCTCGAAGCCTGCGCGTCTGCTCCGCGACCGCCCAGCGCGCCTCTTAACATCCCCTGAGCCGCTGCCGCCTTGACTGGTCAGCCGTCGCCGCACCTGCTCATTTGCATGCCGCGCTCCCATTGGCCGCTCCTAAGGACGCTGCCTGTGTCCGGAGGGGCTCCTTCCCCATTGGCCGGCAGGACGCCCAGCCGACCCGAGCGGGCCGGGCCACGGGATGCCCGCCCTCCGTCAGGTGGTTCTGGGCAGGTAGAGGGAGCGCCAGCCAAGTGTGTCTCATTGCAAGAGAGCAAAGGCGGCGGGAGGATGCAGGTGGAGCAAGTCTTCTTGTTGCCGGCGGCTGTGTGGACGGACGTCCTCAATAGCCTGTTCGCCACCGGAATAACTCTTCTGCTGCTGCCTTATGGGAGAAACTTGCAGTTTTCCTTCCTCAGGCTGCAGGAGTGGGTGAAGAGTGGGGGAGGCAGCGTGAGAACTAGAGTAAGGCAAGGGAGACACTGGCCTCTGGCGCCCCCAAACTCAGTAATCCCGATATACAATATTTTAATGTAATATTTTTTAAAAAATCATGTCGTGTACAGAACAATGTGAATGTGCTTAATGTCACTGAACTGTAAAGTTTAAAATGGTTAAAATGGTACATTTTATATTATGTATATTTTACCACAATAAAAAAATATATATAACAAAGAATTTTAAAAAATAGGAATATTGGCAAACCACAGCCAGTGGCGCTGGCCACCTGATTTTGTATATAAAGTTTTAGTGGAACCAGGACTAGTGAGAGGAGTGAGGCAGGTTGGTGAAAGTGAAGGGTTGGATCTCGTCTTTAACACTGTAAGTTCTGGTATTTTGTTCATCATGGATTTTTTTGTTTGCATTAGTTTTGAATTTTTAAAATGCTGCATTAAAATACTTATTGTTTTTGTTTTTGTTTTCGGCTGCGCCATGCGGCATACAGAATCTTAGTTCCGGGAGGAGGAATCAAACCCCTGCCCCCTGCAGTGGAAGCTCGGAGTCCTAACCACTGGACTGCCAGGGAATTCCCTAAAGTATTCTTTATCTTGATTACTGAGTTTTTTTGGCACACCCTTAACTTTTGCCTGCAGAATGGCTGCCTCAGTTGCCTCACTCTAGTCTCATCTTCTGGGGAGGATCCTGAGGGACGAACAGAATCCTGCTGCCATTATAGGAGGGGAAATAGGGACCTAAACAAGTGAAGCCTGGTAGTCATGCTGGATGGAAGGGAAGAGCAAGTGCGCTCAATCCAGTTTTGTTTATAACAGGGGAGAGCTGCACACAACTTTAACTGCCCAGCAATTGGGGATCTCACCTGAACTCATGATTTGTAATAAAAGGATCCTGGTACTGAGGTTGCCCCATTCAACTGGCCTTGGTCTCTCTCAGCAAAAGGTATTTTCAGGGTCACCCCTGTTTATGCTCTTCTGGGGTTGGGCCTCTATGCTGGGCCAGCGCTGTGGGGGAAAGCCTAGCTCAGATGCCCTAGGGGCCACCCCAACTACAGACACGTCCAAGGCCAGGAGAGTTGTTCCTTCCTTCTCTCCTTCCCAAGAATTTCCTGGCTCACCCTCAGGGAGTAGGCAAGAGTTTGGCTGAGTATATGGGTCGGCTGTGGAAATGCTGTCCAACAGGCCTGGAGGGAGGCCTTAGGTCACTAATTTTGCTTTTCTCAAGCAGTGAATACATAGTCACTCTCACTCCACTTCCACACCTACTCTGTTCTAAATACCTTGCATGTGCAAAAGCATTCAAACACTCCTGGGTGTCCTCAGGTACTTCCTGATGACAATATCTGTAGGCTACCCGCATTTGGATTTTTCACTGTAGCCTTAAACTCGTATTGTCTGAAGTTAAACAAGCAATTTAGTCATCTATTCAGAATTGTAACATTTCTTACCATAGTAATTCCACTTCTAGAAATTTGACCTTCCAGATTACTGTATAAAGATGTGTAGGGAGGAAAAATAATTTTCCTTCTACCCTTCTAGGTTCTTGGCTGAGACACTCCCTGAAATAAAAGATTAATAGGAGAACAACAAACTTAATTTCATATGTAAGGGGACCCCAAAGGTATGAGACCCAAAGAAGTGACCAGGGCAGGCAGCTTTTATACCTTTTGGACAAAGAAACAATAAATTTGTGAAGAATTGACAAGACAAAGGAGTTTGGGCTTGGAGTAGTATATTAGTAAAGAAGTAACAAGATTTTTTTTTTATACAGACATCTCAGCTCTGAACTCCCTATCTCTAGTGATAAGAATGCCCTCTACCCTTCTGGTACCTGGAAGGTACCTTTCACATGGAAGACTTATTTCCTGCTTTTAGGGGGGACAAAGCAGGGTCAGAGTGTCCTTCTTGTACCAGCTGTTTCTTAAGTAAATTTAATTCAAAATAATCAATAAGCCAAAATGGCATATTTTGGAGTGGCCTGCCCTGAACCCCATCAGATGTATGCATAATAATATTAATTGCGGGGACACCCCTGGCAGTCCAGTGGTTAAGACTCTGCCCTTCTGCAGGGGGTGCAGGTTCGATCTCTGGTTAGGGAACTAAGATCCCACATGCCGCGCGGTGTGGCCAAAAAAAAAAAAAAAAAAAAAATTAATTAATTGCAACATTGCTTATAGACTAGAAACAACCCAAATATTCATCACTAAGGAGGACTGATTAAATAAATGATGGTGTATTCAGTGGAATACTATGTAACCGTTAGAAAGAATGAGGTAGATCTATGTGTACCGATAGGGAACAATCTCTATGATATTGTAAGTGGAAAACAAGAAGAACAGTGTGTGTGGTATGCTAATAACTGCTATTTTAAGTTCTTTAATTTTTAAAGTGCTTTAAATGCAAACAAAAGAGTATGTATACGTTCTAAAGCAAAAATAGTATAATTAATTCACTGAATTTCCCTCCCAACCCAAGAGCTAGGACATTACAAAAATTGCACCTACTCCTACACTCCAAAACTTCCATCTCTCTGCCTCCTCCCAAGAGGTAATCACTGTCCTGACTTTTGTTAATGTCCATGAATCATTTTGTTAATGTCCATGAAAAATTTTTTTATATTTTTATCACATCTATATGTATGCTTATACAATATATTGTTTAGATTACCTTGTTTCTGAATTTTATGAAAATCACATGATACTGTATTTTGATTTATGTAGCCTTTCATGTTTTACTCAATATTGCTTTAGGGTTCATCCATGTTCTTGAGGGTCACTGTAGGTCATCAATTTTCACTGCAGTGTCATATTCCACAATACAAATTTATTTACCCATTTTCCTTTACTTGCAGATACGAATTTGAGGGGTTTTTTTCTATTATAAGCATTCTTGTACATACGGGTACTTCAACTATACTTCAATAAAAATGTTCTATTTCAAATAATAAAACTCAGAATACTCAGAATGTATTTTTTTAATTAATTAATTAATTAATTAATTTATGGCTGCGTTGGGTCTTCGTTGCTGTGCATGGGCTTTCTCTAGTTGTGGCGAGAGAGGGCTACTCTTCGTTGTGGAGCACGGGCTCTAGGCACGCGGGCTTCAGTAGTTGTGGCACTTGGGCTCAGCAGTTGTGGCTCACGGGCTCTAGAGTGCAGGCTCAGTAGTTGCGGTACATGGGCTTAGTTGCTCCGCAGCATGTGGGATCTTCCTGGACCAGGGATCAAACCTGTGTCCCCTGCATTGGCAGGCGGATTCTTAACCACTGCACCACTGTATTTTTTAAAAAAAGAAATGAAAGGTATAAAGAGCAGAGATGAAGGCTTAAAAATCTCTCTATTTGCAGATAACATGATTGTTTACATAGAAAACATCAACTAATTTGCAAAGCAACCAGGACTAATAAGTGAATTTAGCAAGTTCACAGGATCCAAGGTCAAAATACAAAATCAATTATGTGTTACCTACTATCAGCAAACAATTGAAAAATAAAAATGTTAAATTCCATTTATAATAATGTCAAAAAGCATGAATCATGTGAATTGAAAACTACAAAACCCTGCTGAGAGAAATGAAAGAGCATCTAAATAAATGGAGTTCATGGATGTAATAAGTTCCAAGTTCATGGATTGGAAGGCTCAATATTAAGATCTCAAATCCTCCAATTGATCTAAAGATTCAATCCAATCCCAATCATAATCACACTAGGTTTTTTTAAAGAAATTGATAAACAATTATATAATTGAAATTTGCTAAGAGAGTAGTACTTAAATGTTCTCACCAAAAAAAGAAAAAGAAAAAGAAAGACAAGAAAAAAATGGACTAACTGCTTCAAAATTTACATGGAAATGTAAAGGACCTAGAATATCCAAAGCAATATTGAGAAAGAACAAAGTTGCAGACTTACACTTCCTAACTTCAAGACTTAAAACTTCATATTTGAAAGAGCGTAGTGCTCTCATAAGAACCGACAAATAGATCGATGGAACAGAGTCCAGAAATAGACACAAACAGATAACGCCATTTTGTTATTTTACTGAGATACAAAATTTGACCTTTTTAATGTATAGTTGTCCCTTGGTATCCACAGGGGATTTGGTCCAGGACCACCACCCTCTCCCCACAGATACCAAAATCCAAGGATGCTCAAGTCTTTTATATAAAACGGTGTAGTATTTGCATATAACCTATGTACATCCTCCTGTATACTTTAACTCAGCTCTAGAGTACTTAGAATAACTAGTACAATGTAAATGCTATGTAACTAGCTGCTGATGCATTATAGCAAAGTCAAGTTTTGCTTTTTGGAACTTTCTGGAATTTTTTCCCCCAAATATTTTCGATCTGCAGTTGGTTGAATCCGCAGATGTGGAACTCATAGATATGGAGAGACAACTATACAGTTCTATGATTTTGGGGCATCTTCTATACTGTTATAAAGATCACGTTTGTCTCTCCTTCGGTCAATACCACATTGTCTTTGTTATTATAATAGCCTTATATTAAATCTTGATATCTGGTAAGTCTACTGCTCACTCCCTGTTCTCCTTTAGTGTGTCTTGGCTTGTATTTGGATTTTTCCTTTTTCATATAAACTTTAGAATCATTTTGTTAATGTCCATGAAAAAGCCTATTTGGATTATGAAAGGAATTGCATTGAATCTATAGATTAAGTTGGAAAGGATTAATATGTTTGCAATACTGAGTCTTCCTATTTATGGACTTGAGCTATATCTCTACTTATTCCAGTCATATGTAATATAGTTCCATGAAGTTTAAAATTTTCTGCATACGGGACTTGCATATATAGGTTAAATTAATTTGTAAGTATACCTTATAGGGTTTTGTTTTGTTTTTGCTATTGTCAACGGCTTCTTTTTTTAAAAAGCGTTTTTCGTTGAAGTATGACATCCATAGAGAAAAGTACACAA